CTGTTTACAGTCGCTTATTGTTCAGGTAATGCCTATAATATATTGTATAGCCGGCGCCGCTGATTTGGCGGTTTGGTTTTAATTATATTTTATCGGGAATATGCCGCGATAAGTATAGCAAGTGTATTTTCTCTCCCCTTCCCATAAACATCTGTTCTTTCACGACTCGTCGTGCTTATAACTTTTCGAACATAAATAGTGCACGCGCTTTTTGTCAAAAACATCGGTCAGTTTACATTGAAATTGTAATTCGTTTACTTACAGTAATTAATTTAATTAATATTAAAGCTGGATTCTTTCACCGTGATGTCATGCCAAAAGGTGTCTTTTCTATTTTTAAAAAAGACCCTCTGTTCATTTCTGATTTGGTAATATTTACTACGGTTGTATGTCTTGTATATTTGATTATTTTGTTGTTGCTCAATAACTTTAGTCAAACTTCAGACCAAACTTCTACGCACTGTTACTTATTTAGTAGTTTTAACTGGCCATCACTTCAGTTTAAAACAGCAAGAAGATAAAGACAACATGTACGTGTGAGTTATCCATGAAATAAATAGTTGGTTTACAAAATGAATTCCGTCTTCATGGATAAAATTAATGAGTTATAAATAATCTCTCCTGTATGTGTTAAGCTACATGTAGGGATTTCCCCCGGTATATTTCTTCTCTTTTGTATGGCTGTTTGTGGTTACGCGTTATCTGACATATACTTTTGGTCCAATTTCAATTACAGTTATCCAACCATTTCTGGATGATACATCTAGAACACTCAGGCAGTTCTCAGGCCAAAAAAGTCAACTTGAAAGGGGGCCCAACTTTCACAGAGGGGGCCCCGGAATGCTGGAATTGCGCAACGTGTTCTGAAATTGAGGAAGAAAAAGATGTGAAAAGTATTTTGAACCCCCCATTATCGCAAAAATAATTTTTGGAACTTTTTTTTCAAAAAAACGTCGCCCCACCCACCCACCCCCCCTTTACATTTTACTGTAACATTTTTGCTTACCAGAAAACATTTTGAGGGGGGCCCGTAAAAGGAAGGGGGCCGAATTTTTTAGTTATATAATAGTCTAATTATATAAATTAATTTTGCGATAACGGGGGTGGGGGGGGGTCTAAAATACTTTTCAGACTTTTTTCGACCTCAATTTTCAGAATATTCCTTAATATTTAACACGTTGCACAATTCCACCATTCCGGGCCACCCTCTGGGAAAGTTGGCCTGCCTTTCTTGACTTTTCTTTCGCCTGAGTACTGCCTGTTGTAGATGTATCATCCAGAAATGGTTGGATAAATTTAATTGCAATTGGATCAAAAGTATATGTCAGACAGAAAATAATGAACTAATCGGCTCGTGCAGGTGGTACCCGTACACGTTGTCTTTATCTTCTTGCTGTTTTAAAAGTGATGGGCAGTTAATTAAACTACTAAATAAGCAACAGCGTTATAGTCATTATTAACATTGTAGCGATTTATGGGAGTTTGAAAGTCAAATGCGATCGTATACTGTACTATCAAATAGTTACTTCGAGCCTCGAGCTCACAGCCGGACAAGAAATGGAAATACCGTGATAAAAGATG